GTTCGTTACGTAAATAAGTACGTACTATATATATATATATATATATATATCAGAAGTAGATAATAGGAAACACATTATCTACTATTCACAAAATAATAAAATAATTTTAATATTCACATAATATAATCAGGAGTAAGATAATATAGGTCCTAATATAGATACTATATTATCTTACTCCTGATATAATCACATCATCCCTATTTAATTATCTACTTCTCTATTTAATTACTATTCTATAGTAATTATATTAGTATTCTATAGTAATTACTATTAATTACTATTCTACTCTACTATTTAATTATCTACTTAATTATCTACTTCTGATATATATCAATGAGAACTGACACGAATATACTCCCGCAGCGGGAACTCTCTGTGAGTGGAAGGCGAGCAGTGAGCGAGGGCCGGACCTGTACGACACGTTCGAGGCGTACAAGTCCGCCAGCCTGCAGCAGGCGTGTACGCAGCCGAAACGCAGCGGCCTCTTCAAGTTCGCCCCGACCAATGACACACCGAACACGATCTACTATCAGGTACGCGCGGGTTTGTCAGCTTAGATGGTTCACAACAATTCCGTGATTCGCTGCATGAGTCGCACGCCGCCGTATTCGATCAGCCTGCGAATCCACCTCGCAAGCAGGTTCAGAAAATTGTGATCCAGATCATACGGATCAATGATCCTGCGCGCTTTGTTTGGGTTGATCAGTGGTGCGGATCGGAAATTCCTGAACTTGCTTGCGAGGTGGATTCGCAGGGTGATCGAATATGGCGGCGTGTGACCCAGCCAATCACAGCTTGCTGCGAACCATGATAGGTCACAGCGAAACAACGAACTGTTGAACCGTTGGAAGTGAGTTTGCCTTTGTTTGGGGGAGATCAGAATCAGACGGATTCGGTCCAAACAAACGCGCCACCATACTTCGTTTGTCGTCTTCACTCGACACGCCACGGCGCCACTGTTCTTGTCGGCTTAGCTGAATCAAAATTCGATGTGGACGTTCTGTGGGTGAACGCGCTGAAACCACGCGTTAGCTGTACATATACGCGCGTATATGCGATGGTGCGCAGTACTAATGGCTGCGATTATACGTCGCATATACCCTAGCTACAGATTTAGAGATTCTAGGTATATGCCTAGCTTTAGTGGAATTATACTCGTGTACAAGGATACAAGTTCACTATTATTTTGTATTATATATTTATATACAATTGTTGTTATGTATTATAATAATAATAATAATATTATTATTATTATTACTGCTATATTTAATATTTTGTTGTTGTTTGTATTGCTGTTATATCAGTGATCGAGAGACAATGCTGAGAGCAGGTAGATTGGTTCCATAAGTCTCTGTTGGCCATCTTTGTGGCCTTTTTGTTGGGTATTGAGTGTGGAGCGCAGCCACAGGGACGTCTGGAGTCAGTCTAATGGTGTGGCGGAAAATCGCCGAGTGTCGTCGAAGTCTAAACCAGTTCATCTTCTTCATTGCAGTGCTACCAACACAGGTTCCTCGGATGGAAGATCAGAGTCGTCAGCGACTGGGACGAGGTCGACGGAGGTGCCGGCGTCGCCTTTCAAATGTCGGCAGCCTTGACCTTGTGCATCGCTGCAGTGACGCTGTCGCTGGTATCGTCATCGTCATCATGAGGTAGATCATCATCCGAGCGATAATTCCCTTCAAAACCTGCCTTCGTAGCAAATCAGTAAAACGTAACCCACCAATTTGGGGGGGGGGGGGAGGGAGGGGTGATTTAACCACTAATCTTTTCATGTGCAGTGTTATATATTGTAATGTAGAATATTTTCATGTGAAGTGTTATATTGTAATGTCGAATAATTATTTTCGCGCTAAATGTGTCAACGTGTTTAGAACTCTAGCTGCTATAAGCGGCACCGCGTCACCTGATGCCTTGATGACTTGCATGCTTTAACCGCAAATGTGTCGCTAACGGTTGACATTTAGTCGTCGATATTTTTGGCTATGGTAATTAGAGACATTTAATTATGGTAATGAAGCCGACCAAAGAACAATCGTGACGTAAGAACGCGACGTGAGGTGTTGCAGAGCGGCAACACGCACAGCGTGTATATATATATATATATATATATATATATGTATATATATATATAGTATGTATGTATGTATATATGTGTATGTATATATGTGTATGTATGTATGTATGTATTGTGTGTGTGTGTGTGTGTGTGTGTGTGTGTGTGTGCGTGCGTGCGTGCGTGCGTGCGTGCGTGCGTGCGTGCGTGCGTGCGTGCGTGCGTGCGTGCGTGCGTGCGTGCGTGCGTGCGTGCGTGCGTGCGTGCGTGCGTGCGTGCGTGCATGCATGCATGCATGCATGCATGCATGCATGTATGTATGTATGTATGTATGTATGTATGTATGTATGTATGTATGTATGTATATGTATGATGTAGGTATGTATTTATGTATGTATGTATGTTAATGAAAGGCTCCGTCAGTTTGGATCCAAATAACGCCAAATTCACAGAAGAGATCGATGAATACACGGGACGGGTTCTAAACTATACTCGGTTGAAACCCGTAAAAAAGGCTTAAAAAAGACAAAAACAAAACAAAAAAGGTAAACATTTGCCTGAAAATAGGGGACGCTATATTTTTGCTAGAACCAGAGCACGTATATCATATGATATATGTGCTCTGCTAGAACTATGTGTGTGATGTGTGCGTTACATGGCATATACATGTCCGTTACATACTGAATAAAAAATAATCTTGATGCAATAATATATACATATAATTTAGAGAGCAAATCCCTACCACTCCAGACGCGGATTTAGGCCGGTTTGCACCGGTTTCCAGAAACCGGTCACAGGCTGGGTATCTTCAGAATTGACCCTCAAAATTCACCAGAATGCACCAAATAGGTCTATAGCCTCATTTTTTTTTTAATTCCAGGGGTGGCATGCCCCCGGACCCCCCTAGCTGTGACTAGAACTATGGAAACTGGTCACCCAAACCCTCTGGATCCGCCCCAGCACTCACGTCAATAATTACATGGTGCCTATTTTATAACAAATATCTCTGTAAATGACGGGTGACATCTGCTCGAGGACGCCCAGTATCTTCGAATATATATATATATATATATATATATATATAATTTATACGTTTAAAATGATTAGAGAGAACTCTTGTCGCAACTGCTTGACATGAAGCAACCAGTGTGAACGTGACATTTTATTCGACATTATTTCTATTACCAGTTGGATAGGTTTTCGGTCTTGCTAATTCAGAGGATTATACTTAATGACGCCTGGAAATACGTACGATGAATAACGCAATGGAATATGCTCGGAATAATGAAAACAACATTGAGATAGAACAGACAAAGTTATTTTTCAATGTATAATCATATTTTTCAAATAATATATACATTTAACGCAAAAAAACAACAAGAAAATAAGGGCAAGATTGATGTACGTACGCAATACGACGAGTAATTGTAGAAACTTTACAGCCAGCTTTGAGAAGTCACATGCAGTCAGTATCGTATGCAGTTTGTCGTTGGCGCATTGGGTGACGACTTACGTACGTCCGTCGTGTCTGATATACTGTGCACGAGACACTTCACTGAGGGACGGCTGTGCGGATTCTTGTTCCAACAGCCGGAAACGAGTGCATTATAAGAGACCTCTGAAGAATCGGCGGTGACGATGGGGCATGTATGCATAGATGCATGCGTTATTGCATTTATTGATAGATGGGTGGATGGGTAGATTGATGGACAGGCGAACAGACGAAGAGCGGATAGACGAACGAACTACTGGATTATTATATACCCTTATTGTTCTTGAGTGCAAAAAATACAGCACCTACTGTTTTCTAGAATGCGCGCAGTTAGGATATGTATTTAAGCCGCTATATGGAGGAGCATGACGCGTACTAATGTTTACTTTCAACGTGATACACCCAAAGGCCTCTGTTATTAAATAAGTCATCATGAAGCCGTATTTAATAATAATTTTACCATGCTGCGCTGGCCAACCTATCGTTGGTTAATAATATTATTTCCGTTAGACATATTATCGACGAGAACGTACAGATGAAAGGGAGAAACTGAATGCCTTGAAGCGGTCTGAGCGCTTGCGTGGTTTCTCATACGCGACTCGGCTATCTGCGTCAGCAACGCGCACGAAGCGGAAATGTCACGTCGAGATTTCGCAGACATTCGTGCCCGCGGGAAACGTGCAGCACATAAATAGTGTCTCCCGGTTGTTAATCGTGCTCATTAGCGTGTTGTCGCTCCTGGCACCAACTCTGCTTGCTGCGCGTAAATCGCGCATGCGCGTGATGAGATGGGGGGGGGATGCAGGAGGACTGGGTGAAACCATGACGAGACGCTTACATTGAATAGACAACGCTGAATAATTGGATTCTAAAAAATGTCCAGCTAAACCTGCCGGTAGATATAATCAACCGATCAAATCGAATGGCGAGTTTCTTGATATAATATCTTTAGCTGTCGCATGACATATTTCGCTATTTCTTTACACGAAAGGGGTGCCTATTTTATTCTTTCGACAAAAGCGTGATGAGTACGCAAAGCGTTCTTACGAATATATCGTTGTATTCTGTAAATATAAATATTTATATCATATTATATAAGATCAAATATATTATATAATATAATATTGATGTCTAAAAATCGAAACTATCACTAAAGCTTCAAGCAACGTTTCATCAAGTACATACGAGAAGAGCGCAAAAACACGTGAAAAATAAACATTATACCACATATGCGACAACACGACTTTATTAAATTATCTATGTTACTAACGCATTTATATTTTGTCGTCGACACCTAAATGCTGGTATATATTGATAACAGCTATGACCTTATAGTTAGCCTTTATCGGGTTGCAACATGTGCGCGACTATACAGTATAATTACACAATAAAAGCTACAATAGCTAGAGCAATTAAGGTGAAAGATAACGTCAGATTCGTTGACGTAGTTCATCCGTCAACGTTTAAAAAGCCAATATTACTATGATGAATTATCACGGCTCAGCAGTAGACAGCAGCTAGACGCGCGGTGGATAATAATAATTAGTCTCTATTCGACCTGAGACTTTTCAATCAAGGTATATACCAATGTTCGACAGGCTAGAGTGACCTGTGTACCGCGGCTACGTTGTATTCCGACAGTACCACGCCTGCCAACGCGGGCAAAATTTTGGGCGTGCCGCATAAACGAATTGATGTTGAGTATCGGTATTGCGATATAGCTGTTTACAAAACGGGCTGAATATTACTAGTGTACACGTTTTTTTCCCGATTATTTTGCGGAAACCTCCTTGTATGTTACAACGCCCACAATACATTTACTTGCAACAGTGCAATAATTAGCACGAATGAGATCTACGTTTCGAATATGCCTGTGTAATGTAACCTCTCCCAGTAATTACATGAAGAAACTGCTCCATATAAATAAGGCGTCCAATGCGCAGGCGTAAAATTAATTAATGAAATATAATATATAACAGTACAGCGTGTTTTCACGTCATTAAAAGTACAGAATCAGACATTCGTTTTCAAGCAATGTCTGGATGTAGCGGCCATGAGCCATGCTAATGAATCCTTGTGCATTGACTGGCGAATCCTTCCTACCTCTGACAACACCGCGGTCATTTCTCCGTTGAGAATTCAACGCGCCCCAAAAGTTATCGTTGCTCTGGCTCAGGCATCCCAACATAGCTCTGGGAAGATTGGCTTAGGTGGGTTGTTTCTGATCGAACACTAGCGAGCTCCTCGTTTGTATTGTGAGCAGGGTGCACTTGCACGCGGCTGCTCCCCAGGCTTAGGTTTCCAAAGGACAAAACGCTCCTGCCAAGACATACGAACATATCAATGCTAGACAGATGCTATATAGAAGATCTTTACCCAATAGAAATGTAGCACGGGAGATTATCGATATATGAGAGAGTGCCCGCGAGAGAAAAATGCTCTGTATATATAGGGATTCCAAATACGTTAATAAAGACGTATATATTGTATGAATGCGCGTGTATGGGTGCGATAAAGGCGCATGCCCTGCAGCTATTTAATTAACGCTCGTCGCTCGGAACGAGCTGTGTATGTTTACTAGCACGAGAATCTTATTACCTGTTGACATCGCCTGGAAGATCCAAAACAATATGGCGGTTGCACTCGGCTAGCATATGGTAAAGTCGTGAGAATCGCCAAATGCAGTAGGCAAATGAGACGAGGTACAAAGAAAGGGTGATAATTCCAAAACCCATCATAGCTATAAAACAAAAAATATGGATTGTTATAGTACAGTTCCGTTCCCGAGTAAAAGATGCTCTACAATAAAAAAATATGTCAATTAAAGAATTTTAATTAAGTCGCTATTAGAATTACAAAGATTACGCAAATGGCTGCCCCACGTAGGTAACACTTACCACACAATAAGCAACATGAGAGAAAGCATATTTTAGCTAAATACCCACGATGTGGCTCCCGTTAAACCCGTGGATAATTTTGTTATAAAAACATATCGATCTCAAAATTACGATTCTACTAATTAATTTCTACAACGCACCAAGTACTTTCCACATTGAGTAAGCGTCTCTCAAGAAGCTTTTGACCTGGACGGCGCTGTATCCGAGGATATAACAGATAAGTGGAGTACAAAAGCAAAGAATACCGACGAGCAGGCAGATGTAAGGCCCGAACACTCCCGGGTTAGTCGCAGGCCTCTTCCACTGAAATACAGCAAAAGAAACGAATGAGGACTGTAGCAAATCATGGTTATAGTCACTCTGTAATATTCTACAGTATGCAATACTGAGCAGCGTGAAAAATATACGCGTACCTTGTAAATTGGTTTTACTTCCACTCGTATGCTGTAGAGATACTGGCATAGTTCGCATTCGTACGAGTCTGATATAGTGAGCCACTCTTCCAAACAGGATCGGTGAACCCAGGCTGCCGTTCCGCGGCAGAAACACGGCCGTATTAAAGTATCGCCAGTCTCTCCATCGAGACAGATCCGACATATACGGTCATCGGCAGCCATTCCGGTCCAGTCGAGCTCGGAGGTCTTCCTCGACACGTTATCGTCGAAGCAGACGCACTTCTGGTCCGTATTTGTCGTGGTAAACGATGCGGATCGAGTCGTCTTGCGCTGAGCATCGGAGTACTTTCTCAATAGTGCGTTTCTTTTTGGCTCCCGCTCGGTCCACAACTCAGGAAGGACGAACCGTGACACGGAACCGTAGCCGTACACATCGCCCTCCGTTCCGGAAACCGGAACAGGCTTGTCGACCTCAACGATGCAAGTGCCGTCGTCCAAGGACACGTCTCCCACGAGGTGGCAAAGGAGATTGTTGTCCTCGTTGCTCGCCGTAACTATTTTGGCAGGCCCTTCGTCGAGCGGCACGAAGAGTTTACTGCGGCGTAAATCGTTCGCATCAGAAGAGAGCCTGCCATCTTCCTCTTCGCGGTCGACTTCGACTGCAAGTAATGTGGGCTCGCCGTGCGTCCTCGTAGATTCTACATCTGCGTTAACTTTCGGGGTAGCTGCCTGTTCGTGGCCGGCGGAAACGCCACGCTGCCTCACGAGGCGTGACGAACGAGGGAAATCGTTGCCGTGATGCGATACTGCTTTTGGCGGTTCGGGCAGAGAAGGTTCCGCAGCCGCAAGTTGGTCGCAGGGCAACACGTCAATGGCCGCGGGGACCTGCTCATTTTCGCTCTTGCACTTTTCCCATGCGACAAACGAAGGCGCTTTCGCGACCTCAATGCCTCTGTTCTCGCTATCTGCACGCGGTGCTGACGAGGTCAAAGAGGGCGACCACAAGGGGCACGTCTTCTCGCTGCTCTCGCCGCCACCGCCCAGATTCCGAGAGCGATGTCTTCGCGAGCCATATTCGTTTAGTGTCTCTTGCAGAAGACCCGTTCTACGCATCTCGTCGCCTCCACCCAGCTCTTGAAAGTGACTCTTCAATTTCAGCGGTAGGCTAGATGCACGCCGTTTTCCGCGCATTGCGAACGGTTTAACGTGAAACTCTGCCAAACATTTGTTATTGCACGACGTGGGGTTGGGACTTGCCGATTCGTCAGTCACCCAGCGTCGCGCCGTCAGCTGCTCTCTACTACGAGCACACGGGACGTTGCTCATTTCTGAACCAGACGACGATTCCTCCGCAGTTCTTCGCGTAGGGTTGAGTTCGGTTACATTGTCTGTCGCTATTTCTTTGCCGTCATTATAGGTGTCTTCCTCTTGTAGGGCAATACTGCTCGTCTCCGTCGTAAATACGTTCGGTGATCTTCTCGGATTGTTGCCACTTATAATCCCTCCTTCGTCTACGCTAAGAAATTCTCTCACTGACGACAGAAGCGTTACCTGACAAAAAGTTGAACACTGAATTCTGCTTCACGTATCTAACACATTTCAACGTGGAACTAATCATTCAAGGATGCGCTGCAATATCCTCAACTTACCACTCGAGCCATCTTGGTCTTCATGCTGATGTGCTACCTCCGATGACGAAGCCAGGCTGATCGATCAACACAAGAGGCACGGTGCGCCGCCTTTTATATTACCGCGTGACGTATAGTTATTGACCGCAATTCGAATAACCAATTCGCGTTCTCCAGAAGCGGACACTATATTATAATGAACATGATACCGTGAAGTAATGAATGAATTGCGTGAGAGAGAGAGAGAGAGAGACACTAAATACGTAATACTAAAATAAGTTTCGTAAGAGGTTTATTATACATGACAATCGAAACCACAACAATAACAGCACAAATAACAGCGGGACATCTACCGACACGAAACCCCAAATGCTAAAATATCCGTACCGTACCAGTGAAACCACCAGGGTACCGTGTTGAGAGACATGCCAAAACACAATACAGACAGGAGACGAATACATTGACACATTAAACCAATATCTTGCATATGTCCGTATCAGTAAAACCATATTTGGTACACTACAGCAGCAAACTGCATACTATTTAAACGCGAGCTGTACAAGTGTAAAATTATTTGCCTATATACATGGTGCGTCAGGAACACATGATTTAATTTTGTTCATGTTTCGTAAAAGGTTCATTATACATGACAATCGAAACAACAATAACAACGGCGGGACATCTACCGACACGAAACCCCAAATGCTTTAAAAATATCCGTACCGTACCAGTGAAACCACAGGGCATCGTGTTGAGAGACATGCCAGAAAACATACAAGAGAACATATATGTCACACGAAATCACAATGACATGAAATTTAAAAAAATAAAAAACGCGCGCTTAATTCATACTGCAAAATGCTAATGTAGATGTTAATTTCGTAATGTCCGTACCAGTAAAACCATATTTGTTACACCACAGTAGCAATCTGCATACAATTTAAACGCGAGATGTAGTCAGGGACGCACGAGATTAAACCGACCGGTGTACCAGTAAAAGCAGGTCACTGACGAACGCACTCGGTTTCGCCGTTTAACCACCAAAGCCGTACAGTGTACGTCCCTGACGTTTGAGAGCGTAGACAACGTCCATAGCGGTGACGGTCTTCCTCTTGGCGTGCTCGGTGTAGGTGACGGCATCACGGATCACGTTCTCAAGAAACACCTGCAATAAATTACACGCATTATATATTTCATACTATGCAATAAATTGCATTACATATATATCCGATATGCGCCATGTACGTCAGAACGAAACGCACGTATTAATAATATTGCACGATAATGTAAAACCAGCTTTAATATTCTTACCTTTAACACACCACGAGTTTCTTCATAGATGAGGCCAGAGATACGCTTCACACCACCTCGGCGAGCAAGACGGCGGATGGCAGGCTTCGTGATGCCTTGGATGTTATCGCGGAGTACCTTGCGATGACGCTTAGCGCCTCCTTTACCCAGACCCTTGCCTCCCTTACCTCGACCTGACATCGCTGCGGCTTACGCGAGTTGAGAAAGCTGGAAAATATGTAAATGCCAGAAAGTTTCTTTAAAGCATCGCAATTGCTTACGACGCATATTCAACGGATGGGGGCTATAATATACAAACTCGCAAATCTCTGACAGCGCGTCCCTGGCCAAGTAGGCCTACGTTAAAATTACAACCAGAATCATTTATAAGTTTTACCAACTATAGGATATACTAGTTACAGTGGTGTCGATTTTCGATCAGCAAGGTATAGTGTCATAAAAATGTAATAAATATACGACTAGTATTCGTATTAACGAGGTCATACATGATGTCTCGGTAATGTAAATCCACGCTTAGCAGCTCAAATAGCTAAATAATGTTTAAAAAAGAAAATATACGAAAGCGATCTTACCTGCACAGTACACTCCACGCTCCCAAACTCGGTGAATGACTACACGACTTGCAGTAGCTCGTTATAATTGAGAAGCGCCTACGCGCTAGAACACACCTTATAGAAATGGTTTCAGTTCACCAGTCTAGTTTTACACACAGCTGGCTTCAATCAGTGAAGCTAAAATTTAACATAATTGACGCAACTTCGCATTTCGAGCGGAGGATCAGTGATAGGTGGTGTATGTAATAACACACTTTGTGGCTTTGACCCCGAGTACTGTACTGTATTGTGATGCGTTTATAGATTGAACCCCCGAAATTGTCGAGTTGCGCAAACACCAAAAGCAAAGTTGGTCAGCTAGCAGACCTTTTATCAAATAAACTAGAACTATGTTAGTGCTAACCGAACTGCTTTACTAGAAATGTGAATTACTGTCACTCAAATATAATAACGTCAATATTTAGGTTATACATGCTTATTATTTATATATACCGTGCTTATTTTTATGTACATATGCAATAGAAAACATACTGCTAATAAGCAAATGTATTACTTCTGCTCTTGATCTACATCAATAATCGCCTATCTGCTTCTAACTTTGCTACAAGACTGTTCGCGGGTGACAGCAATCTAAGGAAACCAAGAAAAAGTTCACCAACTATATGGTTCATCACCTAGTTATTTTGTAATGTGTAGGAGTAGTCGAATGGATAACTCACTTGTCATTTCACACTTAATTACTCCTATTTACTTCTTATTTTCTATATTCATCAGCTTTGTCAATTAGTTTGTTTAACCGATATAACTCTTTTCAATCACAAAATCTGATTTCCATAAGCGTAATTAAATGAAGTGATTGAATTGATGTAATTTGTATTAGATCATTTGTAAATCCTAGCTGTCATGATCTAATACGTGTAGGAAACATAATGTACAAAATAATTATAAAACATAATAATAAGTAAAAATAATAATGATTATAAGAAGTTTCAATATCTAGCATATTTAAGCCAATACCATAGTACGTAGTTTGTTCTTAGCTTTCTAAATTGCGAATAATTATATATATATATATATATATATATATATATTCCAGTGGTTGTTTATGAACTCGTGTGTCGAGAGTGCTCAATACTACCATGAGTAGAGCAAATATAGGCCTAGATAAAGTTATACGGACACGGTAGTAATTTTGACTCTGTTTATTGCATACAGAACTGTTTCGCGTGGAGCGAAAGCTCCACACTCATCAGTGCCTAATACAGATCGGCCTACACTCGGAACTGAAATCGGAGTTTCGGTTCAACATATCCACATTTTCCACATATACAGTGCCTAATATAACATTTGTTACAGAATATATATAGTTATATACAGTATATATACAGTGCCTAATATAACATTTTCCACATATACAGTTGCCTAACATTTTCCACTATACAGTACTCGCGTGCGGGTGCCTCCCGATCGATCGGGAGCGGGTCGTATAGTGTGCGGGGGCACGCGAGTTTTTAAACCGTAGGATGGCGACGCCAGATTGATGAATCACGCGTCTCTGATGGGTACGTGCGAAGTAATAATGCCTGTCACGTCAGCGTTAGAAACGCGGTTCAGCGGGTTAAGGTAATATCACAGGCCCGTAGCCAGGGGGGGTTCGGGGGGGGTTTTCGAACGAACCCCCCCCCCGAGCCCCCAAGCAGAATTTTTTTTTTAAATTTGCAAGAATTTCACCTCAGGTCGCTCCTATTTAGTGTAATATTGCAAAATCTCCATCGTGCGGGTGGTGAACAGTGAACACCCCCCTCCCACACCCTCCCCCGGCTTGTCGCTTGGCTCCCTCGCCTGGTCGCTTCGCGCCGAGCAGGGCGTGTACAGGGGGGGTCCAGGGGTCGGACCCCCCTTGCTCGCGCAGAAACGCATCTGAGGGGCGTCTATTTTAAAAATTTTCTTGGGGAGGGCCCCCCCAGACCCCCTTCGCGTGCTCGCAACTTTGGATTAGGTTAGACCCCCCCCCTGTACAAAATCTGTACACGCCCCTGCCGAGCAAATTGCAACATTGAAAAACGAACCCCCCCAATATAAAGCTGGCTACGGGCCTGATATCACACATCAAAAACCTAAAACCTAACCATAAACCTAACTCTAACTCTAACCCTAACACTAACACTAAATATCTATATATCGGATATCTTTATATAGGGGTGTCATCCACAAAAATTAATCTATGGTGTGGGGACAGATATATGGGGTTTAAAAACTCGCCACCCGCACACTGTCCGACTCAAAGTTGGCGCAAACCATGGCACTCTCGTGGCGTTCCAAGCGGATTTAGCGTGTACTAAGGGTCGGGAGTGTTTTCCCGCTATTTTTACCGACTGCGGTTCCCATGGCGCTGCTCTGTGATTGGTCAATTTTCTTCAGCGCTTGCGTCGGGTCGGATGGCCACGCACACTCTCCGAGTCGCGTCGTAAGCCCTCGCACACTATCCGCTCCCGATTCAAAATTCGAATGAAAAAAAAAAACTCGAAATTTCGTTGGGGATTTTTTTTTAAAAATTGGTGCAGTCTGAGAGCATCTGAGCAGTAATTTTGATGTCTAGAATGCAAAAATTTTCAGTATCAGATCCGGTCCCCGGACGCCTTGCGGACCCCTCTTGTGCCATCTAGGTTTTATAACGATATTTACATTTATAAGTAATCTTTATCAGAAAAAACTAGCGCTAAACAAGATTTTTTATGGAGACAAATATAGAGAAGTGTGTGGTGTGTGTGTGTGTGTGTGTGTGTGTGTGTTGTGTGTGGTGTGTGTGTGTGTGTGTGTGTGTGTGTGTGCGCGCGCGCGCGCGCGCGCGTCGCGTGCGTGCGTGTGTGTGTATACCTTTTTCCCTTTTTGTTTAGTAAAAAGGGGGGTCCGGACCCCTCGACCCCCCTCTCGGATCCGCCCCTGCCACACACACACACACACAACACACACACACACAACACACACCACACACACACCACACAGCACACACACACACACACACACACACACACTATATATATATATATATATCGTTTTTCCAACATGAGTGGACTATGTAGAATGGAATAATACACCCATCCTAATTCTTTTCGGCAAAATCTCCGTTACAAGTGATTTAGGCCAACGTGCACATGTGCCTAGCTTTGAGATTTCATATATAACGTTACCATTCAATTTTTTAATTGTTAGATTCACCTCAGGTAGACACATTAAAATATGCACCTACCGGTAGAAATAATTGGGTAGCACAATTAAAAATGGGGTAGCACAAAGACAATGAGTCACGAATTTATTGTTTTTATTCAAACAAAATTTTAGATATATCATACATAAAAGCGTCAGCTCATAACCGTAGCTTAAGAAAATTCATGGAGGGCAAAATTTCGTCATGTGATTGAGGAATGACGAAGAGGTATTTTACAGTTTCAAAAATAGACCACATGCATGTACGATAAGGTTAGGCTGAACGGATAATTTGTGTGTGTAATGTATACTACTATTATATTATTATAATTACTGTATGTACTGTAGGGTTATTGAAAGGTACAAGGAATGTTATATTTATAAATAAATAAATGAATAAATAAATAAATAAATAAATAAATAAATAAATAAATAAATAAATAAATAAATAATAAATAAATAAATAAAATTATGTATTGGTGTGGTGTGTGTGTGTGTGTGTGTGTGTGTGTGTGTGTGTGGTGTGTGTGTGGTGTGTGTATTGTGTGTGTATAGTGTGTGTTGTGTGTGTGTGTGTGTGTGTGTGTGTGTGTGTATGTGTGAGAGAGAGGAGAGAGAGAGAAAAGAGTATGCGTGTGTGGCGTGCGTTGCGTGGCCGTGCGTGCGTGCTTGCGTGCGTGCATGCGTGCATGGTGTGTGGTGTGTGTATGTATGGGTGTGTATGTTGTGTGTGTGTGTGTGTGTGTGTGTGTGTGTGTGTGTGTTATATGTGAGAGAGGAGAATATAGATAAGCAACAAATCTTATTCACGTGATGCAGTTATGAACATAAACCTACGTAAACAAGCGAACCGTGCGGCAGTTTGATTTTAGAATAACGGCTTTGCCTGCTTTCTCTACATGAGCATGTTGAACCGAAACTCCGATTTCAATTTGTTGATTTCGTGCAAAAGTATTGATTTTGTAGTCGGAACATTGCTGCTCGCTGCTGTACCGCGCAACGGTTACCCTGTTCTTCCAACGATTTTTACCGGGCGTGACCTACGATGGTCGTAACGACATGCCGTCGTCCTGGCGACACGCTGCTGCCGCCATCGATCCGCAACGAGGAACGTTTGCAGGCGTCGTTCACCGCCAGCAAACCCGGCGTTCTTTCCACGTTCATCGGCGCCGATCCGATCGCGTGAAAACGCGAAATCGATTTGCTTGGACCGCGGACATGTGCCGCACGGTGGGCCGTCGGTAAATATACGTTGACGTCAGTGCAGTTTGCATCCGTTCATACGCACGTCGTGTTTGCGTACAGACTTGCCAACTAAATTGCGATCATCGTACGTCTTCCGCGGAGAAGGCGAGTGGGTATTCATCGTCTCTGCGCTGTGTGTCAGTGGCTCCATACCCATCATATGGTCCAGCATCTCGCACAACGGAATTAAAATCACGCGATTATTCCGTTATACAGTAAACGGCGACTACGTCGCAACATACTTCACTAACTTTCTGGTCACAAAAGGGGAAAATAAAGCAACGATAGATAAGAGCGTATCCAGACATTCTGGAATGGAGGATTCGGTGAATGTAGAGTGAAAGGGGCATCCGCACATTTTTTTCTCTAAAAATGCAATTGCCGCAAATGCAATGGATTCTGAGCTATAGATTTTTCTAATTCAGTTCTCTATTCTATTTCACGTGGGAATAGTTTTCACCACTACTGGAAATCAGGGAATTGTAATTATTAGTGGAGGTTCTGCCATCGTTGGTTCACACCATACCACCACCGTCACCGCCCACTACTAACACAGCGTACTATTACACTACAACTACCTCTACAATACCACTAACATACCACTACCACTACATTACGCATTATCCACTACCACTCCATTTACACTGTACACTAACA